GAAACATTTCTTTTGCCAAAATTAATTAATTTTTTTTTTTTGAAAAAGGGTAATATGAAAACCAAAAATATATTATTTTTTGTCTTTCATTATCATTTCAAAACAAAAAATGAAAATTCTCTGCCGTTTATTGATACAGCCAAACCATGGACGGTATAGGATATTTATTCTATTTCATTCCATTCAATGATCATATTGGGCCAGCCCATTTTTGCAGGCCTAGTTCAATTTTTAGACTCAAGTCTTCCCAAGCAACTTTTGCCGGGCTCAAGTCTGAATCCATTTCGCTTTTCAAAACTCTCGCTGATTTAGTAGTATGCTGCATTTGACCTTTACATGTTGTGAATCTCCAGTAATGAATAATATGTTTGTTTTTTTTAACATTTATTAATATATTTTTATTATTAAATGAAATTTTATCACTAATGAAGAAAGAGTCTATATAATTTATTAATGTCCACGTAAATTTCTTATCTAAATAATAGAAAGTGTTAAAAGAAAATGTCAAAAAGTATATTATTAATACTACTCTAACTAAAATTGATGTGCAGTTATTCCACTAAATTAAATTAACCAATAATGGCCGTGCAGTTTAATAATCAAATCAAATGCACGATTGGGACAACTAAACAATGTTGTTAATGTGGACTTTTGTTCGTCTTGATTCCCCTTCTGTTTCAGACGTCAAACTTTTAGATATTCCCCTTCTCAACAGGTGGACCCATTAACGATAATATTAATTAGAACTTAATTCTCACATTACATATCTTCCTGGCAGCAGTGGTCACAGATGTGTAATTCCACCTTAATATATAAATAGAGTAAAGAGATAGACTTACTTATCTTACAAGATAGTGCTAACAGATATATAATCCCACTTATTAGTCCTTGACTTGAAGATTTGAAATAGATAATGAAGCTGAACAAAATTAATGGTGAGTTCTTGTATAAACTCATTTTAAATTCCCTTTTGTATATTGAAAATTTGAACGGCTCAGACATGTTTTGCGTAATAAGACTCGAAATTTCTAATTATTTGTTGATATTCCTATTAAATAAAGGGTTCATTTTTTTGCAATTACTGCAGATAAGTTATCTGCAGTAAGTCCAATACGACGTCGTTTTGGGACTGAAATCATGGTGTTTTTGTAATTTTAATTTATTTCAGGGTTATTATAGTCTTTATAATTATAATTTTCTAATCTTTCAATCCCAAAATGACGTCGTTTTGGAAGTAAATGCAGATAACTTATCTGCATTAACTGCAGAAATATTTTTTTGTTAAATAAAATGAGATAAAATATTAAGTTGCGGACTTTTATAAAAATTAAAATTAAAATACAGTTATATTTTCCTATAATTGAGGATTAATAACTTTTAATTGTTATGAAATTAACTTAAATGACATTTTAAAATTAAGGGAGTAAATATGAATTAAGTATTGAATCTATACAAAAATAAATAAATGAATGGCATCCAATTTTGACCTATAAGTTTATAACATGGCCATATGTGCTTGTCGTTAAACCCGAACGGGTCAGACAGTCAAATAAACTAGACATGAGGGAAAAGAAAAAGAAAGATACTCACGGCAAGCACCTATCAATGGTCCTTTCTTTCCATTTGAAAAAAGAAATCACCTTTCAATCTTCTCTGTCTCTCTTTTTTCATGGGAAACTGGCAATCACTTTCCTTCATGGCTTTTCTGTCTCTGACCTATATGTAAGTATCTATATTCTATGGTCTATCTTATTAAACTCTAAAATGCGACTCGGAGAATGAGCTTCTACACCTAAATATATGTTTAATTAGTGACGATTAGGCAAAGACTTGGCAGGCTTGAATTGCCTAACACTTCCATACATATAATTGACTAATACGAATAGTTATGTATGTGGTTTAGTTATTGGATAAGAATAGTCAAACTTGTGCTCGTCGTATCGGCCAAATATAAAAGGCTAGTCTTGGTATAAAGGTAAGTCAGTCAATTCATTTACTTCTATTTTTTTGCTTAGTTAGACGCGGAAAGACAGGTATTACATGTGCATTTTTATTTTTTATTTTTATTTTTTAAGGTTCATATCAGGTAGTTATATACTTACAAATGCAATTGGTGAATACATATTAATTTTTGAATGTGGAAACTTGTAAACCTAACACTAGACAATTAAAAATTGGAAATTTTCAGTGCATGCGCACTGGCTGCTGCTCAAAGGGAAAAAAAAAAAAAAAACTATCTTGTGAGGGCACATGATGTTTGATTTATTTATTTTTTTAATGCACTTCATTGTGTAAATTATGCACTTATATATAATTAAGTAATACTCAATTGTTTAAATAAAAAAATACCAAGTGTTTTTATCTTGTTTTATCTTATATAATTTGATGTACTATTGACTCTGTATAAGACGTTGTTTATAATAATAATAATAAAAAACTCGGTGGTTGAGTTTGTATCAAATTTATTATTGTATCATAGTGTTCATTTGCGATAATTTATGATCCGTTCTCTTAACAATGCTGTTGTGCTGATCTTCACGTGAAACTTTACCTCTGATGGCTAAGGATGGTAGTGTCTCAGTGCATTTTAAGACCAATTATCCACACTCGCTATTCTATATGGTGACATTGGATAATCCTAGCATTCTTCTAACCAATATTCTGCAAAGAGGAAAAAGTCAACTATGACAATTGGACTGAAAAAAAAAAAACTCATTGAGAGCTAAAAATAAACTTGAATTTATGACTAACTCAGTCCTTGAAATTTATTTTTGCTTTTGTTTTTAGATTTTTTGAAATGAATTAAATAATAAATAGTAAATATTATCTTATACTAAATTAGAGCCAAATCTTACATGTACACATGTAAATAATAACTCAAAGCCGGACTCATTTACATAAATACATAAACTTATGAAATTATTAATTTTAGCTTACTAGTAACATATTCTTATAGGTATAATAAGGTGTCTCCTTTGTTTTATGCGGTAACAAAAATACAATTTAACTAAGCTCACCAATAATGATAAGAGTAATCCAAATAAGAAAAAGTTTAGCATTTTACTTTCCAAATAATGAAAGTAGGTATCTGGTCAATCTCATCTACCCTTTGATTGAGTGCCTTTGACATAGGAATTTACCACTTTATCCTTTCTCTAAATCCTTGTACCGTTCATAGTCATTTCTTTCCAACTAGTAGTCGTGTCCTAACAAGAAATAAATAAGTGGCTAACCCATCGGCTAGGTATAAATGAGATTTTTTTTAAAATACTCCTATAGCACTCAACTCGGTGCATCTTCTTTCTATATAAATTTTTTTTTATTCCATTTCAATTCAAATATTTTTTGTTATTTTCTATTGAGTCCTTACCTTCTTTTTCTTTTTTGGGATCCATATATATACTACGAATACACAGAAGAAATGCTCGTATTAAATGGGAGCGAACGCCCCAAAAAAGGTACAATGAAAAAGGCTAATAAAATGAGAAAGAAAGAACAAAGCCACTTGGCTCTCACATTATTTTGTTGCTCCAACTGGCCCAGTGCTAACTCATGAAACACGAGTTCGTAATGATCGGTTAAGTACAATCCCCATGAGTGAGCGGCTATGGCTACAGCCTACAGACAATGTTGCCTTCACATTGGCCATGTTGGGATCCCATTGCTTCATGCGTTACCTTACCCTGCCCCCACAAAAATAAAATAAAACAATATTAAAAGCAAAACCAAACAAATCCAATCGATATTTTTTATATATTTATTCATGTACTTATCTGTCTGTTTCGTCAATCCAACACTAATTGAACTTTGAAAAACAAAAAAATTAAAGAATTTAACTTTAAAATAAATAAGTAAATATACATTAATTTTAATAAATTAAAATTTTAGTATACTTTAAATCAAATAAAAAATATATCATTTTACTTATTTTAAAAATATTATCACTTTAAAGTTTAAAGTATCTCAAAACGTCGCAGATTTCCTCGTATTCTTGGCCTCAGCTAGTTATATTTATGTCACTATCTCAAAACCTGGGTTCACATAGTCACAAGCTATAACCACCTATGGAAGCGGGAAGAAAATGAGAAATCCATATAAGGGTCAACATAAAGAATATAAAACCGTATCTCACTGGTGCCTTCCTCTTCATTTGCTTATGTAACGCTGAAAATAAAATCTTATTACTTATGAAGAGAAGTCTGATCACCTACAAGAAAAGAATCAGTCGTCAAACAATTTGAAAGTTCTTATTTCATACAAGAAAGCGCAAATCCCATTGAATGTTACATATCAAATTAGAGTCATCATATCCTCCCCCATTTACGCAGTAAATGTTAAAGAAAGCCTCAAAAGGCCAAATGCCCATATATTAGTAGGCTTACATTAAAGCTTAATAGGAACCATTTGACTCCCACTAGTAGCTACCCCCACTAAGAAAGATACTACGAACCCAACAATCGAAGTAAGTTCGGCAAGGATAAGATCATTGTCTGCGGGCATATTATCAACGGACAAAACATTTTAGTTTCAAAAGGTTCTTTAAGAAAAGTTTGGATAAATGACATGCCCAAACCCAAAAGAATATTGGGATTCACACACATAAGAATTCATATCCTATATCTCCGCGTAAAGCCATGCCCATTCTTGTTATAAAATTGTAGCATAATCATAGGATCCAATTTTTAGATTTAGTAGAATAACATTATATTAAAAGTAGGTAAAGTCCAAATTCCAATGAACATGATAGGTGAATAACACTCGAAATGAAGGTTGTGTTTGGGTGGAAAGGGATCTAAAAAGCCACATCCATTTACGAAAAAGCTAATTCATAACAACAACACAAGGTTGGGATATTCCTTCTACCTCTAAAACAAAAACTCACATACCTCCTCTCCATTTCCACCTACAAAGTCATTAGCCTAACTAGATAATATATTTCAGAAAATATACACATAATTAAAGAAGGAAAAAAAAAAAAAAAACGAATGGGTCAACACTCCTTAGACCTCTCTGGGGTCAACAAAAATGGAGATTCCGGGTGGAGATTTGGTCCAGTCACCGACGGAGCCATCGCTGTAATCTTCGCCGAGCCTCTTGATGCACCATAAATCCTCATCACAAGATAGCATCTTCCAGTGCGGTATCCCAAACCTTAAGGGTTCGCCGGTGGACACCTCGGTGGCCACCACCCCGCAACCACTTTCCTTAGCAAGGTTATGCACGAATTCACACAGGGCTTTCACCATCTTCACCGCCTCCGGACCTTCACCTCCTAACCCGTACATGAAGTGGAAACCGAACGGCCTGAACAAATCCGGAATCGACGGCAACCGCAGCCACGGCAGGGCCCGATCCACCACACGACTCGTCTTGGCGAGAGTGCGCTTCACGCGCGACGCGCCACGGACCTCGAGCATGAAGACCTCCTTGGAGTTCCAGACGCTGAGCATGGCCCACGACTGTGGTGGGTCCAACAGGAATCGATCAGGGCCGGGCCATGATTCAGCACTGTAGGACCCACGTGGGACGGCGAGGAAGGTGCCCAGGCTGAGCTTGTTGTTAAGGATTGAGTCAATGTCGCGGGGGAAAAACTCCGTGGTGGCGAAACGGCGGCGGTAGAGTGTCTCGGCGTCGGAAGGGGTGAGGGGAATGATGGTGGCCTTCGGAGACACCCTGACTCGATGGGCGAAAACGGGGTTGACAAGGATGGACGGTGTACGAAATTTCGAGTACCCGCATTTGTCGGTGAAGAGCTTAACGGATGCTAAATTGTCGTTTTCCGTTGCCATGTAAGAGTATTCAGCGCCATTATCACTGAACCATGCCTCCAATCTCTGTACTAGCTTCAACCCTATTCCCATTCTCCTGCATGAACAAATAAATAAAATAAAATTTCTAATTAACATCTCTCAGCAATCATGATCAGCATTTACTTTTATTTTTACCGTTATTTAATAAATGTGAACGTACCGTTGATCAGGAGAAACGCGAAGGCCTAATATGTAGGCGAGTTTGGTGTATACAGGGACGTGTTTGGCATTAGTAGCTTGTAAGATGTCAGTGTTTATGTTCTTTCCATTTCTAGAGAGCTTCTTTCCGCATGTGACAGTTTTGATGCATCCCCTTATCATTCCCACTATCTCTTCACCCATCTCCGCCACCTGTTGAATCCAGATGCAATACACGCATAATAATTATATATATTTATATCATTTTTTTTATTGATTAATTAAGAGCTAGAATAATACGGAAAGAGGACAAAAACTTTAGAATAAATATATTTGTACATAAAAGACATTGTGATTAGTGGTTACTAATAATATTATACCATACCAGCATGAGAAAAGCAGGTGAATGGCGGACCCTGCAAATTGGGTCACCGAGCATGTCGGTGAAGAGAGAAAGCTTGCCACTGGGTCCAACCTCACATATCCTTTCAACGGCTTCTACTCTCTTCCTGTCTTTAATTGGGTCGAACTCTCTCACAACCACCGTAGGTAACTCCTCCTCACTCATATTTACCTAACAAGTCTGGTAGAAATGGTAAAAAGAGAAGATGGCAAGAACCGTGACTGGGAGAGATAGATAGCTAAAGGTGTGAGTATGTATATGCAAGGCTCCAATTAATTAAAGTGCTAAAAACGTAGAGCCTAGTACATATATATAGATAGATAGGAGCTGGTTCTGAGAGTGAGAAAATCACAGCTTTCTCAACACTGATAAATGTTGCACTATGCTATATAAGCAAGAAACCTGAGCTACATGTCCAAGTCCTCTTAGGGGCTTTAAATACCCTGAACTTTTGGGCTCTTCCTTCTTCGTGTTTTTTTTATTTTTTAATTTCTCTCTCCAGAATCCACAACTTCCTTTTGCTTTCGCTTCGGATTTCATATAACTTTAAAATAATTCTCAAAAGTCTCTATCTATTCTCTCTTCTCTTGGTCTGTTTATTTTTTCTCTATTTCCGTGACTTTTTTTTTTTCTTTAGTATGACTCTTATTTTAGTTTGCTAGCTAAAATTTTGTCCCTCCTATGACTTGTACAAGTGATAATAAATCATGAAAAAAAAAAATTAACAAATTTAATGAAATATTCGTTACGAAAGGCAGGGGAAGGGGCAAAGGCAAGAGGAAGTGGCGGCTATGGCTGCGCAGTTTTGTGGATGTGTTCCTCTTTATTGAATTTTTAATCATTTATTTTATAGAGAAGGACGCGTTGCCATCATGACCCCATTTGTAATCATTACCTTTAACACTCTCTTCTCCTTACTTCTTCCGCCCCATAATGTGTATGCATCAACCATAATCATGTGGAATGAGATGCACATGCATATTTCATGTGGGATGGAATCTATATATTATACACCTATTTCCCATTTACCAAATAATTTCAAATTGCTAGCTAGCTACAGGAGTGTTATTTACTGTTTTACTATGAATTGATGATACATAGGATGTTGCGAGGAACCGTTTGCATGCAAATGATGTGTGCAAGCGTTACGATGAGCATGCATTGATTTTCTTTTTACCAAATTGTGAGATAAAGCCGTAAAATCACAATGGATAAATTTTCATTCTATATTATCTGCTGAAACGAGTGCTGCAAAAAGGCAACGTGGCGAAACGGATACCCTTCTTCTAATAATAAACTTTAGCTTCAGCACTTTCGTTGCTTTATTTTTTTTGTTGTTTCAGTGCTGACCACTGTCTAGTGACTACTTAGCTGCAAAAGCGGCTTTCTTTTTTAGCTGCTGCACATAGCGTAGATTTGCCGAGTGCGATGATCGTCGTCGTTGATATCATTATCCTCTGTTTCTAATCCACGGCTAGGATCACTTCACTCATGAGCAGCTAAGATTTTTTTGTACTTTATCATCATACTGATTAAAGCCTATGATAGAGGTTTCGCTACCCTGCGACGCAGCCCTATTGATTTTGATGGTCAGCTCAGCCTAGGCTTTCGCTACTATTAGTAGACCGAAACGAAATTAATTAGAATATGACGACAATAGAGTTAGGCCTGAAGGACTGTTCAGTGTTCAACCATTATTTTCAACAGGATTGTTTGGGGTTTAAAAAACCAATAATGTAGAGATCGTTCATCACCAATTAGGAGAGAATATATTTAGTGTTACATTTGTATCGAATTTTCGATATATTTTTCATTCATAATATGTATTTTATTTTTATCAAATTATTAATAAATAATTTATTTTAAAATTAAATGAAAAAATAATTTGATAAAAAATAATACACATCATATTATGAATATAAAATATATCAAAAATTTGATATATCCGTAACACTAAATAAATTTTCACCAATTAAAGGGTTAAGAAGCAAAGGACCTGCGTCACCAATGATAGATTGACATGCGCTTCGGTACTGTTGTTTAATAGTTACATATTAGAATTCTTCTAATAAAAAAGTAGTTACATATTAAAGCCAGCCAAGAGAACTTATTAGCAGGCAGCAGACAACGGTTTTGATAATGATTGGTCATTGAACGAAGTGGGTACGTCACCAAAATTTTGGGTTATAATTAATAATTAATGTTCAATCATTTTCCTTAAATAACCATTGATATTGGGTAACTCTGCATTTGTGTACAAGTGGGGGGATAAGAAGCCCAAGGGCTCTTTTTTGTTTTTCTTTAATCTTTTTTTTTTCATTATAATATTACGTATGGATTCTGATATGGACCCAAAATTATTGAGCATAATTAATAGAAGAAATTTTATCAAAACAATAATAGAAAAATTAGGATGGGAGATTTTTTTATAAAAACATGAATATTATAAGGAAAGGGGAAATATAATTGAAGTTTGTCATGTATGATGTTAAGAACCTTGAGGCCACCACCCCAAAAGCTAGCTCAAAGAGTGAGAGTGTCCAAGGCCTTATAAACTCCACATTAGTTGCTCATACAATCAATGTGGGATTATATATCTCAACATGCACAAGAGTCCATTGGGCTTGAAGAGTGGACAATGCAACAAGCTCAGCCTACTTGGACTAAGAAACTCCACAAAAAAAAGTGGGGGACGGCGAGACTCTGAAACCATGTTAAGAACCTAGGTCACCACCCAAAAAGCTAGCTCAAAGAGTGGGAGTGACCAAGGCCTTATAAACTCCATATTAGTTGCTCATACAATCAATGTAGGACTATATATCTCAACATATGACAAAGACACTTTTGTTTTTTACTATTATTTTCAATATATATTTATTTATTATTATTATTATTTTCTGATTATTTACTGTTATATCTTTAAAGATTTTTAAGTATAAATTTTGATATGTAAAATTTCAATTTTTTTAATATGTGAATTATAATCTTAAAAAATTACATTATCAGATTATTAAAATTCAACAGTCTGAATTCTTGACCAATTTTTAAGAAAAAAATACTGTGCTATTTATAAAATCATTTCTGCAAGTCAAAGAACAAAACGTGTGTAAAGTGGAGCATCTAGGAAATATATTGTTTTAAAATTTTAAAAATGTGTAAATAACAAAGACCTCTGTATGAACCTGAAGCCTGCTCTTGCATCCAATGTTAATTATTTTATATGTGACGAGAATAATACTCTAACCAGCAATTCATATATTTTTAAACCAACCCATTTACTATTATTATTTGGTTAACCAATCATTTATATTGGATGAGTTGTTAAAAGTCAAATCTCTAAACATTAGTCAATTAAGTTTTGTTCCTTCACCCAGTATTTTCACAATATTTTGTAAGATTATTTCCTGAAATACATAAGCTCAGGGTGAAAAGGAAAAAAGGATAAAGAAACGGAATTGCTGTCAGCGGTGCTCAAGGCCCAGCTGTTCTCATATAAATTATTATTTTTGTGTTTATTTCATAACTTACGTTTCTCAATTCTCACCATTATGTCATGGTTAAGCCTTTTCTTCTTTATAACCTAAGCGATGCTATTTTTTTGGATTACCAATAAATTATCTAAATTTCAAGTCCCTTGCCTGTGTTAGAACAATATAAAATGAGTTATGTTTTTCTCAATTTACATGAAATAAATAATTTTTTACACACACAAAAAGAGATGGGTCTCGTCACTTTTTTCTCTCTCTCCTCATACGTATAATTCTCACTTGTAATTATATTTCTATAACATGAAATAATTACTCCCTTACAATATAAAAAAAATATTTCCCATTATATTACAATATATAGTTGTTCCTCGCTAAACAAAAAGTTATATACACCCACGCACGCACTCTAGAAATCTAAATTTTAAATAAATTTTAAGAGTCACATAACGTGTGTTTATATCTTATGCCTGTTTGATTTAATTGTAGCCCTTTTTTTATGATTCTTCATTGCTAAGCAAAAACCTATACATATGCAAGCAAGCATACACGCACTTAAGAAATACAATTTTTTTACCAAAAAAAAAAAGAATACAATTTTAAATATATTTTAAGGGTCCCATATTGTGTGCATGATTTTATGCTATTTGATTTGGTTTATTTGTTTAAAAAAATTAAAAAGAAAAAGAAAAAGTTGATTATGGGACATATTTTTATAAGGTGAATTATATACCTTTAAATAAATAATTATTTACGTAACTTAAACAACATGTTTATGAACCCTGGCCTGACCCAATCTGATCGATCCGGAACTTGGCAAACCGGTCATCAGATCGATTCGAGTCAAACATCGGGCCGGCTATGTATCACACCCTGTCAAAACTCGGCCAAACCCACTGACTCGGCCGGGTCATGCATTTTTATAAAAAAAAAATTCAAAAACCAATAATCAAAATTGTTTATCTTGTTAGGAAAAAAATGTAGAATTCATTTTAAATTTTTTTATAATTTTATTTGCTAATATATACTCTTCTACAATAACCTCAAATTTTAGCTTCCAATACCGAAGAAATTCGCGGAACAATAAATTAAGAGAATGTGACATATATATGCCATTGCAATGTAGATAAATTTGAAAAATTCGAGTTCACAACATATGGCCTTTTGAATGTCATTGAGAGAATGAGAGGTATGCTTATGGGATTCTAAGTTGCAATTTAAATTGACATAGTAATAACGAATCTTGTTTAACTCATTTTAGATATGGAGAATATAATTAAATTTATATGTTCATATTTATATATGAATCAGATTAATCGATCCAACCAGTAACCCAATACCCCGATCGGATTGATGCCCGGGTCGGGTTTCATAACACAGTCGAAATAAATCAAACTACATAGTTAAATGGGAATAAACAAACCAACTCATTTAATTTAATTTTAAAATATTATCAATTTATTTTTATCCAATGAAATTTATATGCTTCAACTGAATTTATTGAGTAATCGATGCATAGGAGAAGTTTAAAACAATTAAGTTTATCTTTTGATTGGTTAGCTTGTTCACAGTTTAATCTCCACATAAATTTATTAAGACTATATTTAAGGGTGAAGGATTTGAATAATTTATAAAGCACGATAAGTTTACTCTTTTGCTATCATTGCAATAAAAGTTAAT